GGAGGCAGAGGTTGCGGTGAGCCGAGATCGCACCATTGCACTCCAGCCTGGGTACCAAGAGCGAAACTCCGCCTCAAAAAAAAAAAAAAAAGGATTTCCAAATGGGTTAAAGGGACCCTCAAAAAGGTGTGAACTAGAAGAATGACTGTTTCTGAATTTTCTCTGAAACTTTACACTAAGGAAAATGAATAGTATGCCCCATGTTTGTGATCAGTTTCAAAAGAGCTCACTTTAAAGATGGGTAGACTCCAATGATATCACTAAAATATATAATCTGACAGAATGAAAGGCAAATGGATTTGCCAAAAACAACTTGAAACTTGTGCACCGAAGGCCAGGGTATGGCTGAGTCCATCCCCTCAGCTTGACTCTGGAACTTAAACTGCCTTTTTACATCCTGATAACCAAGAATGCAGCTCCAGCATCTAAATGTTTCTACCAGGAAAGAAAAACTAGTCACATTCAGACACTAAGAACTGCTAGTCAAAACATCTTCTAATCAATACTAACTTCAGCAAATCAACTCAGGAATAAATCAGACAGTGTTTATGTAATCTTAACAGACCGGAATGTCTTACAACCGGAAACGTGTCAACACAGACAGCTGACTGCATGTCACTAGCAGGGCATTTTACAGCCAGAGTCTGTATCTCATCTGGGGCTCCTGTTGGCTGTATAAATCCTATAATGATTGTCTGAATTTATGTTGTGTTACCTGATAAAACAAAGATCATTAAATCTGTTTTTATTACCATTTAGTCAAAACTATAGAAAAACTACTATGGTATTGATGATAGGTTGCAGGATTTAGCTATCTGTGGCAAGTTGGTAGTGCCAATGCGTACACCTGAGTTTCAATAGACCTTCTATATGTCCGCAGAGCACCCAGTGGTGACCGACTCACGGACGGCGATGAAAAATGGTTCGCTACACGGAGATTTTCTCCAGCGAATGAATCAAGCTTCTTAGCAAAAAATGAAACACATGCCTCGTGACTTGGGCACAAAACTTTCTCAGGTCACTCCAAAAAGATGGGCCTAGTTCATTCATTTTTTTTTTTGAGACGGAGTTTCGCTCTTGTTGCCCAGGCTGGAGTGCAATGGCGCAATCTCGGCTCACCGCAACCTCCACCTCCTGGGTTCAGGCAATTCTCCTGCCTCAGCCTCCTGAGTAGCTGGGATTACAGGCACACACCACCATGCCCAGCTACTTTTTCTGTATTTTTAGTAGAGACGGGGTTTCACAATGTTGACCAGGATGGTCTCAATCTCTTGACCTCATGATCCACCCACCTCGGCCTCCCAAAGTGCTGGGATTACAGGCGTGAGCCACCATGCCCGGCCCATTCTTTTAAATAAAGTAAAACGTTTCCTGGAGTTCCTGAGGAGGGGGAAGAAATGCTGAAAGGATGGATGAGTCACTAGCTAGAGTTCCTACCAGTCCAACTGTGGTGACGTCTCAAAAAGAAAACTTGGCCATTTCTTAAAACAATTTCAGCAGTGTTACAGCTCTTTTTGAATTTTTCTAGCTGGAAAAATTGTAATGCAAGAAAAAGATTTTATTCTGTAAAATATCATTAATCCAAAAGAAAAAATTAAAATGTATCTTCTTTGTCATAAATCTGAGTTGGTTTCATTCAACTGAAAAAATCATATTGCTATTTTTAAACAGTGAGCTTATTCTCAGAGTGTGCTAGAAAAAATTATGCAAAAATTATGTTGTCACTTCACCAAATGGCTCTAAAGAATGTCATCCATGAATTTGGGATGCCCATGTCCATTATGAGTCTTGGCCTATTTACCAAGGAAAAGTAGTAAAGGAAGCCAGAGACTTGCAGACTGAGAAATATTTTCATTGCTCACATTGTGTAAAATATGCAAGAAAAATAGGACATGCAGAAATGGCTTTTAAGTTTTTTGGCCAAGAATTTCAGATGAATGAGTTCTTTTGCTTGTAACTCTTTATTATCAGGGACTCTACAATCAGTAAGAAGTAGGCTTGCTCCCTACAAATGTTAAGTGGATATATGGCCCACGAGAATTTTAATTACAACCTTGTGGGCACCACCATAAAATATTTCATATATTAAATTATATGAAGATAACATGTTATCAAATATGAAAGAGGTATTTGAAGGCATTCTCTTGATGGTAATGAGAGGCCACATTGTCCAGTCTGAATAAACTCTGCAATGACACACTGACTGCAGGGTCTACTGCACGGCTCATCAGAAATCCTTTCATATCAAGTTCTAGTCAACACCATGAAAACCAGAGGTGGTTGAGGTTTCCAGTTTCACTTCAAAAGGATTAAAAGTGAATGCCATAAGTCATATGCATATAATAATAAAATTGCTAAATTTAAAAAATCGAACATTAAGGACCAATTAGAATGGCAAATAATACATATAAAGTTAAATTAATGCAGTCACAAAGTTGACCTTCATATTTGGCTCTACGGTTTGGCATTCAGATGAGAGACAACCACGATGAAATTATTAATTTCCAATGCCCAATATATCCAAAAATTTTTATTTGTGTCTATTTACCAAAAGAGACACATTTCCCTGGGATGGAACCTCAAATAATGACATAGACCTTTATATAAATGAAACAATGTATCATACTGGATACATTGTTCAGAAGCATGTTTGCAGAAGATGTAGATACAAACCTTATCTTGTCATTTATCATAAACACTTCTGGCAAAGGCCAGTGACTCTAAAACAGCATCAAAGAAGGATGTTCTGCAGAGAGGCTAAATAGTGAGAACCATGTGTAATGTTCTTGGAAAATCATTTGTTAGAATATTTAGAAAAATGAATGAATGAAGAGCAAATCCTTTAGCTTATCTCAAGAACTGTCTCATCTCACTTTGGGTACTTTCTGAAAATGGCCTGCATAAAATGTCTATGTTGTTTATTAAAGACCAATTGCCCTGCTGTACATTTCTCTCTGAAAATGAAAAGGCCAGACACTTACTCTTAGGTGTATGGATCTCCCATTTACCACTGGAAGTAGATGAGTAATAGTTTCCTAATCATAAACTGAATTGTTTCCTAACAGTTCCCAAGTCAAAAATGCAGATTTCATTTTTAAAAAACCAAGTGGAATATAAGAAAGTCACACTGAGTGGCTGTGAAAAGAGAAATGGAGCATTCCTGGTGCACTCTCACCCTGGCTGATGGCTGACAGCCCTGGACAAGAAGAGTTCCAGGTCTGCCAGACAGGTGCAGAACCTGTCCACACGTCAAACCCCGAGTTTGAAGAAGTCCTAGTTTTTAACACAGTTTTCACCCTCCACCATATCACGGCAATATATAAACAATATCCAAAGTTGGCATAGAAAACTCAGATTAAACTGTGAGCTTCCGAGAGAAGCAGGGTGACCAAAGCTTGTATCCATTTCTCAAGCACTTGCTACTACTGTGTATTTTGTACTGATGGAGGCATCACTTTTAATGAAACAGTTGTGAATAAATGTGTAAAGCAGATATTCATTATGCTGCAAAGCCTGTTAACATAAGAATAAATTCAAGGGCCAGGCACGGTGGCTCAAGCCTGTAATCCCAGCACTTTGGGAGGCCGAGGTGGGTGGATCACAAGGTCAAGAGATCGAGACCATCCTGGTCAACATGGTGAAACCCCATCTCTACTAAAGATACAAAAACTTAGCTGGGCATGGTGGCGCGTGCCTATAATCCCAGCTACTCGGGAGGCTGAGGCAGGAGAATTGCCTGAAGCCAGGAGACGGAGGTTGCGGTGAGCCAAAATCACGCCATTGCACTCCAGCCTGGGTAACAAGAGCAAAACTCCATCTCAAAAAAGAAAAAAAAAGAATAAATTCAAATCCATGGAATGTATTTTTTCAAATTTTATATGTATTCATATGTATAATAAAAATATATATAATTATTTTGCTCATTTTGAAGAAAGGAATTTTGTCTTTATACAGCCCCAAATGGTGAAATGAGTAGACTCTAGATCTAATCATGATTCCATTATTCGCAGTATGCAGAAATAAGTAAATTAAATTCCTTACAGAATGGCAAATTAAAAACCATGTGATCCCAATAGATTCAGGAAAAAAGCATTTGATTAAATTAACACCTCTTCATGACAAAAACTCTCAATAAATTAGGTATAGAAGGAAAGTGCTTGAAAACAATAAAGGCCACATATGACAAGCCCACAGCTAACATTATACTGAATGGAAAAGCTGAAAACTGGAACAAAACAAGGATGCCCACTCTCACCACTCTTATTCAACATAGTATTAGAAGTCCTAGCTAGAGCACTCAGGCAAGAGAAATAAGTAAAGGACATCCAAATTGAAAAAGAGGAAGTCAAATTTTCCCTTTTTGCAGATGACATGATCTTGTATAGAAAAACCTGAAGGCTCTACCAAAAAACTCTTAGAACTAATTGATGAATTCAGTAAAGTTATAGGATACAAAATCAACATACAAAAATCAATAGTTTCTAAATGTGAACAATGAACTTACTGAAAATAAATAAACCAATCCTATTTACAACACAGACACACACATACACACACGCACACACACCTTGGAATAAATTTAACCAAGTATATGAAAGATCCCTAAAAGGAAAACTATAAAACACTGATAAAAAAATTTGAGGCTGACACAAAGAAATGGCATACCATGTTCATGGACTGGAAAAATCAAGACTATTAACATGACCATACTCCCCAAAGTGATCTAAAAATTAAATACAAACCCTTAAAACAATACCAATAACATTCTTCAAAGAAATAAAAAAGAAAATCCTAAAATTTACACAGAACCACATGAGGTCCCAGGTAGCCAAAGCAATCCTGAGAAAAAAGTATAAAGTTGGAGACACTGCAATTCCTGATTTAAAATTATATTACAAAGTTATAGTAACCAAAACAGCATGGTACAGGCAAAAAACAGGTAGACCAATCAAACAAGGTAGGTATCCCAGAAATTAATCCATATATCTATAGACAACTGATTTTTTTTTTGACCTCTGAATTTTTTATTGGCCTCCTGCTCCCCCAAGGGTCCCCTGCTTCTGCTGGCCTAATGTCTCAGAACTTTGGTGTCGTTGGTCTCAGACACCACCTTGCTATCCCTTGTCCGGCAGGTGGTCGTCTTTTGGATGGTTTGCATGGAGTTGCTGCTGTTCAAGGCATCACTGAGACTGAAGTCCTCCCCATCTTCCAGCAGGCGGCGGTAGGTGGCGATCTTAGCCTCCAGCTTGACCTTGATGTTCAGCAGAGCCTCGTACTCCTGGGCCTGGCACTGTCCCTCTGCCCGGGTCTGTGCCAGCTCTGACTCCAGGTGCAGCAGGATCCTGTTGAGCTGCTCCATCTGCAGGGCGTAGCGGGCCTCCACCTCCCTCAGGCTGTTCTCCAAGCTGATCTTCATATTTCTCATGGAGTCCAGGTTGATCTCCAAGGACTGGACTGTACATCTCAGCTCTGTGAGCGTCATCTCAGCAGCTTCAACCTCCGTGGACCGTGTGGTGACTATTGTGGTAGTCTGCTCAGTCAGCTGAGTCCAGTACTTGTCCAGCTCCTCTTGGTTCTTCCGAGCCAGCTCGTCATATTGAGCCTGGATTTCTGCCATGATCTTAGCAAGGTCCTGAGATTTGGGGGCATCTACCTCCACGGTCAACCCAGAGCTGACAATCTGGGCTTGTAGGCCATTTACTTCCTCTTCATGGTTCTTCTTCGTGAAGAGCAGCTCCTCCTTGAGAGCCTCGATCTCTGTCTCCAGCTGCAGCCGAGTGACATTGGTGTCATCGATGACCTTGCGGAGACCATGGATGTCACTCTCCACAGACTGGCGTATGGCCAGCTCTGTCTCATACTTGACTCTAAAGTCATCAGCAGCAAGACGAGCATTGTCAATCTGCAGAACGATGCGGGCATTGTCCACAGTATTTGAGAAGATCTGAGCCCTCAGGTCCTCGATGGTCTTGAATTAATGGCCCCAGTCTCTGACCTGGGGTCCCTTTTTCTCCAGGTGCTCCCGGATTTTGCTCTCCAGCTTCCAGTTCTCGGTCTCCAGGCTCCTGACTCTGTCCAGGTAGGAGGCCAGGCGGTCGTTCAGGATTTGCATGGTCTCCTTCTCGTTCTGGATGCCTCCCATTCCTGCCAGACCCCTGGCCATCCCCGCGGCCAGGCCCCCAACCCCCACGCCGCTCCGGAAGCTGGCGGAGCGCGTCACGGAGATGCGAGAACCAGAGCCCCCGGCACCTGCACAGACGCTGGCTGTGCTGCTGACCAGCCGGGCGCCATAGCTGGGCACCTGGACGGAGTCCACGGACCGGTAGTTGGTGGAAAAGGAGGAGCGAGTGGTGAAGCTCATGCTGCCAGGGGAGGAGAGCGAGAGGACAGGGCACAAAGCCTTCAAGAACATACATTGAGAAATTTTTCTTCAATAAATGGTACTGGGAGAACTGGCTATTCACTTACAGTAGAATGAAACTGGACTGTCATCTCTCACTTTGTATAAAAAAATCAACTCAAAATGGATTGAAGATCTAAATGTAAGACCCAAAACTATAAAACTACTAGATAAAAAAAATAGAGGCAATGGTTCTGGACACCGGTCTGAGAAAAAACTGTACGAATAAGACCTCAGAAACACAGATAACAACAGCAAAAATAAACAAAGGGATATAAAGAACTAAAAAGGTTATGTACAGCAAAGGAAACAGCAGAGTAAAGAGACAAGCTACAAAAAGGGAGCAAATATTTTTAAACTATTTATCTGACAAAGGATAAATATCAGAGTATACAAGGAACTCAAATCTCTCTGCAATGAAAACAAATAATCCTACTGAAAAATAGGCATATAATCTGAATAGACATTTCTCAAAAGAAGACAAATGACTAAATATATGAAAAAATGCTTAAGATCACTAATCATCAGGGCAATGCAAATAAAAACCACAATAAGATATTATCTTACCCCTGTTAGAATGGTTATTACTAAATAGACCCAAAAAATGACAAATGTTGGTGAGGGTGCAATGAAAATGAAACTCACACACTGTTGGTGATAATGCAAACTGGTATAACCACCATGGAAAATAGTACAGAGGTTTCTCAAAAAATATATATATAAATAAAAATAGAATTACCATATGATCTGGCAATCCCACCACTAGCATTTAACCAAAGGAAAGAAAAACAGTATGTCAAAGACATATCTGCACCCCATGTTAATTTCGCAATAGTTGCAATAGTCAAGATATGGAACAAACCTAAGTGTCCTGCAACAGGTGAATGAATAAAGACAATGTGGTACATACACACAATGGAGTATATTCAGCCAAATGCTGCCATTTGTGGCTGCATGGGTGAACCTGAAGGACAGGACTTGAAGCGAAGTCAGCCAGGCCCAGGAATTTAAACGCTGCATTTCGCACTCATACGTGGAAGTTGAGCCAGATAGGAGGAATACTCCTAGTGTTCTATAGCACTGTAGAATGATGACAGTTAGCAGTAATATATTACATATTTTCAAATAGCTAGAAAAGAGTGTATTGAATGTTCCCAACATAAAGAAATGATAAATATTGGAGATGATGAATATGGTAATTACCGTGATCTGAACACTATACACTGTATGTATTGGAGCATCCTTATGTACCCCATAAATTTGTACCATTGTGTTAATTTAAAAAACCGAAAACACAGCTTCATCCTATCCCTGTATGCCACACCCTAATATCTACCTCTGTCATTTATTATATCATCACATCCTATTCTGAGATTTACTAACTGATCTAATATGCTACTTTTTGCCACAAGAGAGAAAAGGTTTCTCAATTGAGAATAAATTAAACAAAACACACATCAATATTAAAACAGCTGACATTTATGTATTGTAAATCTGCAAGAAAGGCAGAATGTCCATCTCAAGGATGCCAGATGAGTCTTTCCTTCTGTGATTTAGACTTAACAACAATTCATCTTAAAAAAATTTCTGTTTTGGAGGTATGGTAGTTATGAAGAGTTTTGAATGACTAACGCCAGGATATTAGAGGAAAACAGTAAACTTCAAACCTAAGAAGGATACAAATAAAAATATTCACAAATGCATGGATGCTCTGCAAGCAGAGGAGGGGAGGGAGAAGCAAGAAGCAAGAGGACAGCAGGGAGAAAGAAGGCGAAAGAGGCAAGAAGCAAGAGGAGGACAGCAGGGAGAAAGAAGGGGAAAGAGGGAAGAAGCAAGAGGAGGACAGCAGGGAGAAAAAAGGGGAAAGAGGCAAGAAGCAAGAGGAGGACAGCAGGGAGAAAGAAGGGGAAAGCAGCAAGAAGCAAGAGGACAGCAGGGAGAAAGAAGGGGAAAGAGGCAAGAAGCAAGAGGAGGACAGCAGGGAGAAAGAAGGGGAAAGAGGGAAGAAGCAAGAGGAGGACAGCAGGGAGAAAGAAGGGGAAAGAGGCAAGAAGCAAGAGGAGGACAGCAGGGAGAAAGAAGGGGAAAGAGGCAAGAAGCAAGAGGAGGACAGCAGGGAGAAAGAAGGGGAAAGAGGGAAGAAGCAAGAGGACAGCAGGGAGAAAGAAGGGGAAAGAGGGAAGAAGCAAGAGGAGGACAGCAGGGAGAAAGAAGGGGAAAGAGGGAAGAAGCAAGAGGACAGCAGGGAGAAAGAAGGGGAAAGAGGCAAGAAGCAAGAGGACAGCAGGGAGAAAGAAGGGGAAAGAGGGAAGAAGCAAGAGGAGGACAGCAGGGAGAAAGAAGGGGAAAGAGGGAAGAAGCAAGAGGACAGCAGGGAGAAAGAAGGGGAAAGAGGGAAGAAGCAAGAGGAGGACAGCAGGGAGAAAGAAGGGGAAAGAGGGAAGAAGCAAGAGGACAGCAGGGAGAAAGAAGGGGAAAGAGGGAAGAAGCAAGAGGAGGACAGCAGGGAGAAAGAAGGGGAAAGAGGGAAGAAGCAAGAGGAGGACAGCAGGGAGAAAGAAGGGGAAAGAGGCAAGAAGCAAGAGGACAGCAGGGAGAAAGAAGGGGAAAGAGGGAAGAAGCAAGAGGAGGACAGCAGGGAGAAAGAAGGGGAAAGAGGGAAGAAGCAAGAGGACAGCAGGGAGAAAGAAGGGGAAAGAGGGAAGAAGCAAGAGGAGGACAGCAGGGAGAAAGAAGGGGAAAGAGGGAAGAAGCAAGAGGACAGCAGGGAGAAAGAAGGGGAAAGAGGGAAGAAGCAAGAGGAGGACAGCAGGGAGAAAGAAGGGGAAAGAGGCAAGAAGGAAGAGGACAGCAGGGAGAAAGAAGGGGAAAGAGGCAAGAAGCAAGAGGAGGACAGCAGGGAGAAAGAAGGGGAAAGAGGGAAGAAGCAAGAGGACAGCAGGGAGAAAGAAGGGGAAAGAGGGAAGAAGCAAGAGGACAGCAGGGAGAAAGAAGGGGAAAGAGGGAAGAAGCAAGAGGACAGCAGGGAGAAAGAAGGGGAAAGAGGCAAGAAGGAAGAGGACAGCAGGGAGAAAGAAGGGGAAAGAGGCAAGAAGCAAGAGGAGGACACCAGGGAGAAAGAAGGGGAAAGAGGCAAGAAGGAAGAGGACAGCAGGGAGAAAGAAGGGGAAAGAGGCAAGAAGCAAGAGGAGGACACCAGGGAGAAAGAAGGGGAAAGAGGCAAGAAGGAAGAGGACAGCAGGGAGAAAGAGGCAAGAAGCAACAGGACAGCAGGGATAAAGAAGGGGAAAGCTCAGTTTCCTGTCACACACTCTTGACTTTAAAAAGGATTAAAAAGAAACCCTCTACTTTCATAATAAAGTTCATGAATGAAGAAATGAACCGTTTTACTCTTGTGAAATACACATGCTATGCAAGAAATCTCTCGAGTAACCAGATTTTAGTAGTTACAGTTAACATTTAGCATATTAAAATGAAGACTTTTAAATAAAAAATATTATATAACGTAATTTGAAGGTTAATGCTGGTGTCAATTCAAATTGTGAATGTCCTGTGGATGTCCAGTAGATTTTTGTTACTAGTTTTTTAATAATAATAGTGTCAGTTTAAGGCACACAAAAACATGCTATCCATAGTAAAATGGTTACCAGAGTAAGGCAAATTAACATATCCATCATCTCACCTGGGTATCCATATGTTTGTTTTATTTTGTTTGCGTGTCTGTGTATGCCAAGAGCAGCTAAAATGTAGCAGGAATCCCCAACACAGTATGACTGTGTGGCCTTCAGTCCTCATGCTGGGCACTGAGCCTCTAGACTTGCTCACCTACCTGTGCACTGCTTTGGGTCCTCTGACCTACGGCTCCTCCTGCCCCACTGCCATCTCGCCACCGCCCGTGACCAGCGTTTCATTTTCCTCAGATCCCACACGGAAGTGAGGTCATGCGTATTTCCCTTTAATGTCTGGCTTGCTCCTCCTGGCATAGCGTCCTCCAGGTTCATCCCTGGCGTGAGAAAGGGCAGGACCTCCTCCTCCTTAAAGACTGAACAACATTCCATCCTATATGTTTTCAAATGGTAACTGACAATTTATCATCACATAAATTTACAGGGTAAAAATGTTATGATCTATTAATGCAATGTGGGATAATGAAACCAAGCTGGTTAACATATCTATGACCTCAAATACTTCACATTTTTATGATGAAAACACTTAAGATAATTTTCTTAGCAATCCTGAAATGTACAATAACCTATTAAAAAGCTGTCTTTGCCACGATGTGCAATAGAAATTAAAAAATATACTCCTCCTGCATAACTGAGAGTCTGTGGCCTCTGACCATTGCCTCCATTCTCCAAGGCCCAGCCTCTGTAAACACCATTCCGCTCCCTGCTTCCGTGAGTCCATTTAGATTCCATACAGAAGTGACAGCATGTGGCTCTTGTCTTTCCGTATCTGCCTTGCTCATTTGTAATTGGGTTACTTGTTCTCCTATTAACTTGAATTAATTCTTCATAAATTTTGAAGGTTAACCTCTTATCAGGTAGGTGTTTTGCAAATATACTTTCCCAATCCATAGGCTGCAGTCTTGTTTTCTCAGCTGTGCAGAAACTTTTCAGTTTGATGTCGCTCAGTTTACCTATTTTTGCTTTTGTAGTCTGAGCTCGGGGTGTGACAGCCAAGAGGTAACTGCCAAGGCCAATATCGAGGAGCTCTTCTGTGTTCTCTTCCAGGAGCTTCATGGTTTCTGATCTCACAGGCAGATTTCCTGTACGGTGTAAGGTAAGGGGACAGTTTTACTCTTTCACATGTGGAAGCCGTTTTCCCAGTAACATTTATTGAAAAGACTGTACATCCTGCATTGTATCCTCTCAATGCCCTTGTCCAAAATTAGTTGAACATATCTGTTTAGATTCACTTCTGGGCTCTGTATTCTCCACTGCTGTATGTGTCTGTTTTCATACCGACGCCATATTGTTTTGATTACTATAGTAATATGACTTTAAATCAGAAATTGTGATGCCTGCAACTTTTTTTTTTTCTTAGAACTGTTTCGCCATTCAGGGTCTTTTGTGATTCCATATGAATATTTGAATTGTTTTTTCTGTTTCTGTAAAAAATGTCATTGGGATTTTCATAGGGATTACATGGAATCTACCTATCACTTTGGCTCATACGTATTTTAGCAATATTATTTCGATCGATGAGCTCAAAATATCTTTCCATTATTTGTATCTTCTTCAATGTTTTGGATTGTCTTCATCAATATTTTATAGCTTTTATTGTACAGGTCTTTTATCTCCTTGTTTGTATTTATTGCTAAATATTTTACTTTTTCTGGTGCTTGTATTAATAAATGGGATTGTTTTCTTGATTTAAGCTATTATTTGTATAGAACAATGCTACTGACTTTTGCATATCAATTTTGTATGCTGAAACTTTACTGAGTTTAATCATTGGTTCTAACAGTTTTTCTGTGGAATCTTTGGGGTTTTTTATATACAGAATCATGCCATCTGCAAACAGATAACTTTATTTCTCCCTTTCTGATTTGGATGCCTTTTATTTTTTCTTGTCTGCTTGTTTGTGCCAGTAGCAGAAGGTTCGTTGTTCTGTGTAAGTGTCAACATCTTCCTCATGTCCAACTTGACACTCCACTATAGTTCAGGCAGCCTCCACATGAGAACCCACCCTTCAGCTGAGGACACTTCCCAGCACTGAACAATAAATGCTCCGCAGAATGACTGAAGGGCTCTGGTTCACCTCGCCTTGCTTTCTGGGACAACACACCCCTTCCTTTCTGTTGCAATTTTCTGGGTACTTTCTAATTTTCTCATTTGTCTCTCAAATATACACATCAAATTAGCTATAGGGCCCAAGCCTATCCAAACTCCTATAGAAACATGATTTATTATTGCATTATTTATTACCATTTATTTAATTAAATGGAATTAAACTGTGGCTGTGACTGAATTTTATTTGTAGCTGATGAGATGATATGCTATAACAGGAAGAACTGGATTCTGAGGGAAAACTCTAAGTGCATAGGTAAAGGACACTTTACTAGCCCTTGTTAGCTGAGTAAAACTGGACAACTCATGACTCCTCTGCTTATCTGCTGCCCTATGAAATGTGAATAATCATGGATCTCTTGTCCATTTCATACGGTTTTTATGAAGATCCAGTGAAAATGGCAGTTCTTTTCTTGTGATAAAATATCAGTGTCAGGAATTCCTACACAGATGGCGCCCCTAACTTCCATGACTCTTTTCATCACGTGGTTCTCCTCATCCCGTGTGTGTGTGTTACCTGCAGTCTGGCTTGGGTTTCGAATGTTGTGTCGTGTTGGAAACACCACATGTAAATTCCATCCAATCACAGAGGAGGGCTTCATTCTTCCTCACGTTAGTAGGTATAAACTGGGTGATCACTGAGGGAAAGCCACCGTGATGGGGAGTAAAAGGGGCTTAGGGGACTTGGCCAGGTTGCCTTTGCTTTCCAAAAGATGACATGTGAGGATGAAGACATTCGCACAGCTCTCCACACCAAGCACCTGAATGACAGCGTGCGTCCACTATTAACAAGGAACAAGGTGAGAACCTCAGGGGCAGGGCCACCAGGTGTGCATTCTAACCCGCTGTGACATGTGGGGGAAGCCGAGCTTCCAGGTGAGGGTAGAGACTGGGGGTGGGCATCATGTGCCCCCCCACATCAGAGCAGGGCGGAGACAAATGTGGCTGCAGGACCCAGGACTCTGAGGTGAGCTCAAAAGCCCGGCCTGGACAATGGCTTTCTGGAAGCAATGGAGTCGTGGATGGTTTCTGGGACAGGGGCAGCCGAGTCCTGAGGAAGAATCTCATCAGAGGGGGAGTAAGCAGGAACCTGGCATCCTCAGTACTGAACCACGCTCAGAGTGATCCAATCCTCATGAAATCTATGTAT